TGACAGTTTATCCTGTTACATGTGTTGCATTCATGTTACCTTGTGTCTGTCTTTACTTTAATCTGCGCTATCTCAGAGGATGGGTGATAGCGAGATGCGGGGGTGCTGCCAGGCTGTTCTGACCCAGGGACTGGGGTGTCCCGTGTATCTCTCCATTTTCTGGTCTCCGGTGCTCCATGTCAGGGACAGCAACCTAACAGTTGTTGAGGTTGTCTTGAAACTTTAAGGAACCAGTGTTGGAATAAAGACCCTAATTATTGTTGCTGTATTGATACTGATCATGTATAATAAAATCATTTTTATGATATTAAATATTTGTAAGAATGATTTGTCCTAGAATTTGGAAGCAATATCTTGAAAAGTTAAGTATGCGTATACTGTTAAAGCCAGAGATATGTAAAATCAGGACCATGCTCTTACTTTTCTAAGAATGTATGCTATTAGCAAAGTATAGTTGGTGATAAAAATTCACATGCTCTAAATTTGTATATCTGCCTGATGTACTTTATCTGATAAATGTCAGCAAGCTGGAATGGAAGGGATATGTAGAAATATTCAAGGCGGTTTGGTCAGGTATAGAAATCCAAAAACGAAACAAAGGAATAAGCCAGGGTAGAAGTCTTAGTGATTTTAAGATTTTCAGTATTTACCATTGGAAAACCAGAGGCACGTAATTGTTTAGCACTTTTTTTTTTTTAATTTGACAGAATTATTAAGTTTCAGTGGTAGGGATGGAAAGATTTCTCTCTGCCTCCACACTAATAAGATGGTTAGTTCAGGTTCTCACATATGATAAAACTTGGACCTTGAGTATGTGAAAACAGTGCTGTTTTGGTCAACAATGAATATGAAAATATGTAGGATTGTTAGGCGGCTTTCACGGGGGTTTTGCACTGCTGGAGGAATCTTCAGGAAGTTACTTCAGTAACAACTTTTAGAGTCTATAGTTGGTTTAAAATATATTGTCATATGGCACTTAGTTACATGATTATTACAGTTGAGAGGTTCTCAGCTGGGAGGTTACTTGGGGAGGTGTATAGGTATTTTTGATTTTCAAAATGATCAGAGGCACTGTTGGCATTGACTTTTCCGGGCAGTGCTAGGTGGCTGGAATCAAAGGGGCAGAGAAGGAATCCAGGCCAGTCCAAAATGCAGTGGTCTCCTGTTGAGAGACACTGCCAGATTCTCAATTCTTGTGTTTAACATCCCTTGTTTTTAGTAGAGTTTAGTCAAGGATTTAATTTTTTAAATATCATCTGAGAAGTCAGTGTTGGATTTGCAATGCATTTGACGTTATAAAATATTCTAGATATATAATTTGACAATGTTGTGAGTCAAGGGAGAAAAAAGAAAATGAGAGTCTTGTTTTTGGCAATTGGGATTAGAAGTGATGGAGAGGAGAGTCCAAGCATACACGTATATAGTGAACCCCCCCTTTTTTTTTTAAGACTTTATTTATTTGACAGAGACACAGCGAGAGAGGGAACACAAGCAGGGGGAGTGGGAGAGGGAGAAGCAGGCTCCCCGCTGAGCAGGGAGCCCGATGTGGGGCTCGATCCCAGGGCCCTGGGATCATGACCCGAGCCGAAGGCAGATGCCTAACGACTGAGCCACCCAGGCGCCCCCATAGTGAACCCTTAAAAAAATAAAAAAAGTTAAGATCATTTTCTCTGGAAAGAAATGATGAGTGTATTTCTGTTAGGACAAAGAGGGAACAGACAGTGCAGAAAGTCAGAGAGGTTATTAACCATTTAACAGCCTGAATTATATCATAACTTTTTAGTAAGAAAAAGTGAGATTCATTGAGATAACAAATGAAAGACTAAAACGTTGTAAGTACTTTAATTTTTGAGTTCTTTGGGATTAGAGGCCAGATGCCATGGTATCTCAGTTGTTTGAATTGTGCCTGTGAGCCAGCAACTACAAAAGGGGAGGAAGGAAAGGAGGAGAGTGTTAAGTGAAGGGGAAAAAAGCAATGACAAGCAGATGGGAAGGAGGCGACAGTATCTCCTTTGATGAAAAGAAATGGCAGCTCCATGCTTTGGTGTCCTTAGGCTAAAAATCTTGGTGTCCTCCCTGACTTGCTCTTCTTTCATGCCTAACATCTACTCTGGCCGCAAATCTTGGGGGCTCTGTTTTTTTTTTTTTTAAGATTTTATTTATTTATTCGACAGATAGAGAGACAACACAAGCAGGCAGAGTGGCAGGCAGAGAGGGAGAGGGAGAAGCAGGCTCTCCGTGGAGCAGGGAGCTGGACGTGGGGCTCGATCCCAGGACCCTGGGATCATGACCTGAGCCGAAGGCAGCCGCTTAACCGACTGAGCCACCCAGGCGCCCCTTGGGGGCTCTGTTTTTTAAAATATATCCAGGATCTGATCACTTCTCGCCTCTCTTCTGTATGGGCCAGTTTGCCGCCCTGTTGCCGCCATCTCTTGCCTAGATGGGGGTGTTAGCCTCCTGAGAGGTCTGCTTGCCCCCATGCTGCTCCCTTATGGTCTCTTTTAAACCTAAGTCACATCAGGTGTGCCACCTTGAGCCTCCCAGTGGCTTTCCATCCCTGGATGGAAAAACTCTAGCCGTTCTGGTGAACGGTGCTTGCCTTGCAAAAATCCATACTTTATCTGCCTCCCCTCCCCCATCCTCACCTCACCCCCCCACCTTTCTGAATCACCTCCTCCACTTTCCCTTTCATTCACTGTGCCCGTCACCATCCTTGCCCTCCCTCAAACACCCAGGCACGCTGCCGAATGGGTTTTTTTACTTCCTTACGATGCTCCTCATATCTTCCTGGCCCTGCAGCTCTTCTCCCGGCTTTTATGCCAATGTCCCTTTCTTACTGAGGCCTTCTCTGACGGCACTGCTGGAGTCACAGGCAGAGAGACGAGACTGTAGTTCCTGTCTCCCTCTCCCTACCACCTCTTTATTTTTCCCTAAAATACTTTTGTTATCTGACCTCCTGCCCACTTTACTGATTTGTTTATTGCAGTCTCTTCCCCGAGAGGGCAGGGATTGTTCGGCTTACTGTTGAAAACAGTGGTTGACACACAGTAGGTGTTAAGGGGAGGCAGGAGTAAACAGTTGGTGAAACATGGTTAAGAAGCAATGGCAGAAACCCATTATGAGAGCGTCTGAGTTATCCTGACCTCCTTGAACTTGTTAGTTGAGGATGTTAGTACTTGACCTCTGTAAAAAGCAACTGGGCTGATTAACGTGAAGGTGTAGCCCAGTGCCTGCTGGTCTTAGAAGCACACCTCATAGATGATAGTTGTGATGATGATACCGATGATTCTCGTGGGAAGGAGAAGACGACAAGCTGAAGGAAATGGTAAAGCATCATAGTTCTTTCCAAAGATCTTTCATGACAGCATTTGCATTTTACTTCAGGATTTTACTTCTGTTCCTTAAAGAGAACTCCCTGTGGCCAATGTTAGTAAATCCATCCATAAAAGCTTAATAAGAGGGAAAGTGAAACCGCTGACATTTTATTCACTTCTGGGTGCCACGTTGTCCATCACGGTCCTCCTGGTGGACTGTATGGCATTTAGTAGGCATTGATGTTAGAGGGGGCAGACGGGTGCACACCTCAGTGGGTGACAACCAGGTACACCGTTTAACTTCCTAACGATTTCAAGTCTCATAGAAAAGGATCGATTCTGCTCAATAGGAGATGTATACTAAGGAAAGGCATGTTAAATATATATGAGAGAGATGTTCAATATTAAAATTTAAAGAGCTGGACTTCATGGGTTAACCTCCAGTTATCTGAAATCATATTCACAGACTATTTCCTTACTCAGAGTTTATATGGGTCTGGCTAGCACTGAGCTCTCTAACAAGGTGCAAGTTACATCCCTGTGCCAATTGTGATTAAAAACTAGTTCAGATGACCAGGTCCTGACTTAAATATAGTGCCTTTGATGGTTAAAGGTGATCAGGTGAGTGTGGTTAAATAGCTCAAGGGAAAAAAAAAAACCCCAAACTGTCCTTATTAATGAACTGGGGTAAAATGTCAAAGCACTGTTTTTTATGATAGTGGGCAGGCCATATGTTCTTCTAAGATGAAGAATGTCATGAAGTCACACGTTCCTTGGTTTATTAGCAATTAGAACATAAACGTTCTACAATGTGAGTGGAGTCTTGTGGATCTGGGAAGGAGGGAGAATCTGTTAAAGCAAGTTCACGAAGACATAGGAGACCTGTGCCTGATGGTATGTGTGCATATGTATACCTGCTGGAAGCATTTATAATGTCACTGTGGAAGTAAGTGCCACTTAAAGTGGTACGACTTGCGTTTATTGTGAGTGACTTCCAGTGACTCCTGGGATGTCCGTGACAGAAAGAACCATCTTAGAAACAAGTACGTCATATGCATTTACAAGAAATGATTTTGTCTTAACGTTTCAGTGTACTATGAATATACTGAATAAAAATTTTAAAGGAATAATTCCAGTTCTTTCCAAACAGCTTTTATTAAAACATTTGCTTTTTACTACAAGGGTTTTGTTTTGTTCCTCAAAGAGAACTCCCTGTGGAAATGTTAGCCAATCCACTTTTCTACTTCAAGAACTTGAACAACTAAATAATGTAAAGGGTCTAATTGGGTTTGCATTCAACACAGTATTGATATAAGTGAAAGAAGGACATTTATTTACATTGCATAATAAATTACTCAGCAATGCTTTGTGTTTCTGACTATTAACAGAGCTAATCTGTTTCTTCTTGGGAATGATGCAATTTCACAGCAAAAATTTGATGTCATTCTAATGAGTCTGCTTTCAATTGTAGAGTACAATGAAGGCCTAGGAAAGATTAGTAAGAAATCTATTTTATTGTAGATAATAAATCTGCGAAGTAAGCTCTCAGCATAGATTGAAGTTGATCTGGCATGGAGTTGCTTTATGAATAGCCCTTTGAGCGAACTCTACAGTTCTGTATGTGGTTTTAAGTCACTGTAAATTTGTAGGCAGGTACATATTACAATTGTCTGTTTTTCTTTTTAGGGCTCATGTAATCAAAGAAGTTTGTTTGTTGTGTGTATCTTTTCAGAACACAACAGGAATTGAAAATGAATCAGGTGAGTTTAAAAATAAGAATTTATACAAATACATTATCTAGATGTTAGACCAGTTCTTGATTTTTAAAAGATCAAAACACACACATTCATTTCTCCCAGATTTTCTTTTCTGTTTCTTAGTACCATTAACTAGTTCATTGCTTTCATAGTGGGCGTATGTTCGTGGAGTGGCGTGTGCACTGTTGTGGCGTGGGTTGGCGTTTCCGTGGAACCCTGCGCAGGGGACTGGTTCTTTGAGACCTTCGTTCAGATTTTCTGTTTCTACCTTTCCCCTGCCACACTGTAGTGTTAATTTTTTATTTTTGTTTTGAAGCTTATTGAGCTTTCATTTTTAATACTTTTTATTTTGTAAATTATCCATTGGTTGAAAAGGGAAGATTGAAATTATTTTTAGAGACCGAAACTGATCAAGTGGGAAACTTTATAAGCATTCTGTCCTTGAGAAACCTGTGGATAGAATAAATACAAGAAGGCGGATTTTAAAATGTAAGATGTGTTTCTCCTTGTAGGAGGGTGTGGGACTACCTGGGGATTAAACAATTCTGCTACGGAGATTTCTGTAGCCTCAGGGGTGTTCTGATAAGTAAAATCAGTTATGTGGACTTAATGTATTCTAAAGGACTCTGAGGATTCTCATTTTCTAGTCTTAATATCATTTCACTTGTAGTTAGAGAAATTCATGGGTGTTAGAAACACTCTCTTTTGAGATCATAATAAACACATTTAAAACATATGAAAGGCAGAACTTAAAAGTGTGAAGTCTAATTTGTAGTGCTTAGCTTAAAACTTATCGGACTTGAAAATGTTTTGTGTCCCTCATTATCTGAAATTTTGGACACCTTTTTATCATTTATAGGTACTTCTAACTGAAGTCCCAATTTTATTAGGGTGGCCACGTTTAATAAGTTCAGTCCCGTGTTGCATTGAGAGATGTGAAATTTTTGGAATGGATCCTTTTGATTTCTTTTCATTACTTTCTTTTATCAAAAATACGTTTATTTTAATGTGGAGGACCATACATCATAAAAAATGAATCTGGCGAACACATGGGGCACATGGTTTCTATTATTTTGCAACTTGCAGATTTACTGACATGCTTTTGAAGCCAAATTATTTTTGAAATGGTGAGATGGGGGAGGGGAAAAGAGAACAGAGTGGATTTTCATAGTCCTTGTTCATCAAAGTTATGTGCATATATATGTCATACGTTTCATTTATTTTTCTCTCTGAAGACTGATTGCATATATATATGTGAACCTGGTCACCCAAAGGAACTTGCTTTTCTCCCGCCTAGGAACTGTTGTTAGAAGAGCCTCAGGGTTCTGGGTTAGAACGATTGTGAATGTTTCCAGAGTGGAATCCAAATATTGACATTGCTTTTGGGGCACCACTGTTCAGCAGTCAGTTATTTCAGGTGGCTACAACTTTACCTGTAGGCTTAATAAGGCTTTAATTCTTACACCGTATTTGGCTGCTCAGATTTTATTTCTAACGTCTTTTGACCTGCTTGACACCTCACACTTTCACTCTGTGGTTCCTTTTATATCAAGTGACCTTGTTGTGTTTAGAGAAAGTCCACATGCCATTCAAAAGAGTTGTAGCCATAACCTTTTCTTTTTTTGGCTCTTTTGCAATTTCATTTTGTTTTTGACAAGTTTTAATATCAGATCTGCAGAAGACTGCCTTTGATGCCAAATGCCAAATATCAGTGGAAAAGTGTCCTCTTATGTTTCTAATGGTTAGCACATTTCTGATTTGGATGTAATTTAAGTGGTCTGGTAGTAATGAAACTTTTATTTGGATTATAAAAATTGTCTACTTTTTATGAGTAAAATTTTCAGCATCTTTAGTTCTATTTTCCTTATCTGAGGGATTTTAGTTGCATGATGTTATTATGTCATGGCATAAAATCGATGAGTGTTTTTCAACAACTGTCTCAGTAATTCTTACCAGTTAAGAATTGTTTCAGGACATTTTATGTTTTTCCTCTTATATTTATTCTCATTTTCAACCAGTGAAAAATGAGCAATCAGTGCTTCAGAAACTTGAAAGTAACTACAAAAATTTGGGTATTAAAAAAGTTTTAACTTGAACCAGATTGATTTTTTTTTTTAAGCTTATTTATTTTTAAACAATCTCTGTACCCAGCGTGGGGCTTGAACTCACGACCCTGAGATCAAGAGGCTTATGCTCCACCAACTGAGCCAGCCAGCCAGGCACACCTGAACCAGATTGATTTTTTTTTTTTTTTCTTTTAAGTAGGCTCCATCCCTAGTATGGAGCCCAACGCAGGGCTCGAACTCATGACCCTGAGATTATGACATGAGCTGGAGCCAAGAGTCAGATGCTTAACTGACTGAGCCTCCCGGGCGCCCCTGAACCAGATTGATTTTTAATTAAAATCTTAATGGTGATGTTACGGTCAGATTATTCTCTCTAGGGACTGAGCAGCCGTGCTTAGATGAATTTTAGCAGTTAGCATTCAGATCTATCTCTTACGGTGGGCATGGTCTTGAAGACAGTAGCACAGTGTCATTCATTCATATGTGTGTGCTGGTTGAGGTTTAGGGACTGAATGATCCCCAGAGTGAGCAGACCATATTGTTTGCAAACGGGTTCTTTAGGGGAAACAGCAGACTCGGAAGTCTCATGGTATTTTAAGAGCTGACTACTGAAGCAGTGTTCTGAACTGCTCAGGCTTAGACCAGTGTTGTTCCATGTTCCAAGCGGCTCCTGGTGCGGTAGCTCCCCAGGCTCTCTCTCCTACCCCAGCTCCGGGCTCCACAAAGCCTCTAGGTGCACATGTTCTTTGTCCTTCCTTCCCTTCTCCTTTGTTCTCTACTCAGCACTTACCCCTTCTCTTACCTTCCCAGCCTAGAACTCCGCTTGCTTTGCCTGTGAGCCTTTTTTCCTTCCAGCTTGGTCCAGGCCTGGTTGGCAGGCAAGAGGAGAGCCGCTCTGCTCTTCTGCTTCGTTCTCCCCTTCTCTTTTCTCCCCGTTGTCAATCACAGGTACCCTTTCCTTGCTTCGCTCGCAGTCCACACCCACCCCAGTATTTAAGTTTGGAGATGTTCTTATTTTCCTCCCTTTTCCCCCCTAGATTTATCTAGGAGAATCCAAACCTTTATAAATTACTTTCTCATTGAATAAAGAGTTTAGAGTGCTTACTTTATAGAATATCAAGGGTGAGCAAAGTTCCATAATTTGAATATGCTCATGGTAGTTTTAAAATAGATACGGTGGAGTTTACTACCACTTCCTGTCTACTGAGTACTTCACCAACATGCCAGGCACTCCGTTAAGTACTGCACACGTTATTTTCTCACTCATTTAGTCTTTGCAACCATTCTCTGAAGTGTAGGTTTTACCTCCATTTTATGGGTGAAGACATGAAGGCCCAGAGAGGTGGCCATGGCTTGCCCATGACAACTCAAACAGTACGGGATAGAGCTCTGATTCACACCCTCGCTTGTCAGATTCCAAGGCTCAGTTCTTGGCCGCCGTGCTATACTGATGTATCAGTAGGATAAGCTGCGTTATGCTGTGCCAACAAGCAAGCAGCTCCGAAATCTCAGGGGCTTAATGCGGCATCCTTTTATTTCATGTTCTTTCTGCGCATCCTGTGTGAGTCCACTGTTGGAGTTGCTCAAGAACCAGAGACGATGAAGGCTTTGCCTCAGTATACATCACTTCTACTCATATTTAATTAGCCTGAGGTCATCATATGGCCACATCTAACTTAAAACAAGGGTGTTAGGTGCTGGCTGGGGTGCGGGGGCGGGGGGCAGTGCAATCCTGTCAGGTGCCTGGGAGGAGAGGAGAACTGTAGTATTTTGGGTATAGCCTCAGTGATTTTTCCCCAGCTCTACTGAGATATAATTGACATGGAGCATTGTGTAAGTTTTAACCCTAATGAGATAATACAACTGTCTTGGTTTCTGATTTGAGTCACAGTCAGGTTATTTTTTTTTTAAAACAATCTTTGGGTAACTCAAGTTGTTCCTGATACTTGAAACTTTCTGTCAACATAGTAGCTTATGATTGCAGCATCTCTCCATCCTGATCCGTGATCTAAAGTATTGCCAGTAGCCTGTAGCGGAACAATTTAGCAACTTAGCCCTTCCAGACTTTTAAAAAGTTTTATGTAGTAAAATAGCAAAAGCAGTTTTTAATCACTGGATGCTGCAGATCCAACCTGAGAACTGTGATAAGCCATCCATAGTTGCATTATCTTCGCTGTTCTGGATGTTCATTTGTTCCCTCATTGTTCCTGTGTACACTGCACCCCAGCATGTTGTGGGTTCTGCAGTGAACCAGACAGGCAGGGGCTCTGCCCTGCCGCTTACCTAGTCAGAGACAGTTGAAAAGCAGAAGAGGAGACAATTTCAGGTCGTGAAAAGCGCCTTGCAGACAGTGAAACCCGGTGGTGTGGTAAAGAATGATGAATGAAGGCAGGGGAGGGTTCTTTGGATTCCACGGTCAGGGAAGGCTGTTCTGAAGAGGTGACTAACAATGAAAACAGAGACTCAAGTGATCACCAACAATCAGATATATGAAGATCCAGGGAAAGAAAAATCTCGGTAGAGTGAGCCAATAGTGAGTGCAAAGGCCCTGAGGTGGGAGTTCAAGGGCACAGGCAGAACAGGCTGGGGGCTGGAGCTTGGCAAGCATCAGGGACTCTGGGACAAGATGAAGTTGGGGAGGGGCAGGGGTCAGATTCATAGAGCCTTAAGGGCCATAGAAAGAAGTTTATATTTTATTCAAATTGCAGTGGAAAGCCTCTGGACAGTGACATCTGTATTCCATTTTTTAGAGCATCACCTTTATCTTTATTGGGAATGAGGATAGCAGTAATGCTTATTATTCAGATTAACACCGTATTTGAGGATAGTTTCTTCAGTTGGACAATTTAATGGGCCTGCCAGCTTTTTGAAAGAGGGTGCTCTTTTATGTGTTTCGGAACTATTTGATATATTTGTTTTCCAGAGACGGTGTGAAGG